TCTTAGTCATCTGTCACCATGAATAGCTTGAGATCCCAACAATATACATACAAACTATAACACCCAATAGGCCCTAATTAATTGAAAAAAAACTCATTACATATTACAAACTACAGAGATCAATTAAATACAATTCTAAAATGCCTCTATACATGCCGTACATCTGTCTATCGCCTTTCTTAAACAACATCACCAACTGTGCATCCTTCCAGTCCTCTGGAACAACTGTGCCATTCCATGATTCTTTTGTTGTACAGCACTTCTGTTCATGTGGGTCCTCCCTTCTTGATGACCTCGGCTGGAATGCCATCTGCACCAGGAGCTTTCCTCTTGCTTTGCATGTTGATAGCCTGGACAATCTCATCAGCATCTGGACATTAATTAAGAATCCCAGCCTTCGGTTGGAGATTGATTAACCATCTCGTTGATGTTAGTTATTCAAGTAATGTTTTCGTTTTCACCCATATTTTGAGTACAGGCGTATTGTACAAAGGCAGCCATGCGACACTTTCCAATACACTCGGTGGGAATTAATAAGAAATACCCATACACAGAGTAAAATATAGGCCTACCATAATCTTTTTGGTGATTCTTAAAACCTTGTCCAATGTAAAAGAACAAATAAACATACAACCCAACAAATAAACAAACACAAAAATTAACCAGACATTGATCAAAAATAGCAGAATGTAATGTTATCGTCACGGTGTAACAAACTGGACGTCCGTCTCCGACTGCTCAGTGTAAATTCTCAACTATTAAAAGCAAACTGGGTCGAAGTTTTTAATCATCATTAGCAAACTTATTCTTATTAATTATCTTTTTCGTCAACAGTGGCGCATGCAGGATATATCCTGGGGGTAGGGGTGAGGCACAGATCATTTGAACTAAAACCTTAACCTCACACATCTAGTCGTCCCCATCCACCCTTAGGAGGTCTTGGAGTAGATTTTATTGAAATTAACAGTAGTGCAATGGTGTATTAAACGCGGGGGGGGGGGGGGCAACTTGCCCCCTGCCGGGTTGTTTTTTCTTCGTTTTTACAAAACGATAAAGAATGGGTCAGTAGGAAAGAAAGTAATCAGTTCATTTATTTATTAAGTATTACCAGCCAATCCTAAGAACAGAACACTGGCAAATAAAAGCAAGGACGTCGCGACCATGAATAAAACTTGTTCTCCCACCATATCCTGTTGAATGAGCCCAAATTTGCGTTAGCTTTTGAATCCACTGTGCCACTGCAGTAATGTTGAATGTTTAACATCTCCAATCTATTCACTGCAAATTACTTAACCATCAAATTACATCACTGAAAGCATTTCTTGCTTTGTTTGTAGGTATTTCAGCGGCGTCAAGACGGCTCTGTTGACTTTTACCGTGACTGGGAGAGCTACCGCCAGGGGTTCGGTGACCTGAACGGCGAGTTCTGGCTCGGCAATGACAACCTGCATCGACTCACCGCTCAGGGCGAGTACAGACTGCGCGTCGATCTTGAGGACTTCGGAGACAACACGAGATACGCCGAATATGACACGTTTCGTGTTGCCAGTGGGAGAGAAAACTACCAGTTGACGGTGGGAGGCTATACAGGAACAGCTGGTAGGTTTTTCATGTGAGAGTTTAAAGATTTCAGTAGACAGGTAATTTGTCTTGAGCAGAAGATGAAAAGAGCCATGTCGGTCTGGAGTGTTAATTTTGTTGGTAGCGACGCGCACGCAACGTGTGAATTCCATAGTCGTTCGTGAACCAGCAAAATGCAGTTCCTACCAAAGGACAACCCGTTGCTAGAAAATCGGGCCCTTTATTGTTGGCTCAGTCCGGGGCTCTTAGGTTGCATTTACAGAATGACAAGACACTAAAATTACAGCAGTCTGTATACTCTCCATTGAGAATGACTATATGATGCGAATGTGTGAACAGCACTGGTGTACACCCCCTAGAAAAGGTGTCAACTCATCAAACAGTAATTGAATCTAAATACCTTAATAAAGACTACCAACATTCAAAATGAATTCCTTTATTATCACTCAGTAATGCAGACTGCTATCTGATCTATTTATTTCAGGTGATTCATTATCTTATCAAAATAACCTTCCATTCACCACTAAAGACCGAGACAATGGTCCAGCCGGTTTTAACTGTGCTTCAGAGTACTTCGGCGCCTGGTGGTACGCAGCAGGCTGTCACGTATCAAATTTGAACGGCCTGTACCTCAGTGGACAGACGTTTCAGCTGGGACTGGGTGTAGTTTGGGCCGACTGGCGAGGACATTACTACTCATTGAAACGAACCGAGATGAAAATTAAGGCAGCCAGCAATTAGTTTCATGGAGTTAATTTGCTGGTTGATCTAGATGATGGTCTTGTCGATAGCCCGTTAGTAATTTTAGATAAAACTTTGCAAACAGGGTTGTCATACCAACAAGGTTGTAAGGGGTTTAAAAATATCAGATGCCCTCTCTTTTCTGTCGTACATTTTACTTCCTAAAGGATCCAGACTCCTTCTACCTTGTGTTACGATTTTGATTTCCTTTTTCTCCTACACTTTCTTCTTTTTTTCATGTTTATTTCCCTTCTGCTTTGCTGTTTAGACTGTACATTCAACGACAAAAACAATAAGTTGCAATAACTTTTGGGTTTATATTCCTTTTATTTGCTAACCCCCGATGGGCGTCCTTACTTGTAAATTCAGGGTCCGTCGCTGACAGTGAAGAATGCTCTTCGACTCATCTCCATCGCTCATCCAGACCCTGCCCTTTAGAACAATACTACAGTGGTAAACTTTTGGCTTGTTTAAACACGAGTTTTCTGTTACTGCATTATTTCCAGACTGTATACACTCTTGACACTGTGCCCAAATATCATGTAACAGTAATGTAAGCTCTCCATTTCGAGTAATACGGGCGATACACAATACAGTGCGCCACCAAGAGTTTGCCGCAGACAGGCCACTTTTTAAGTTTAAGGTCGACATGCTATCACGATTTAGCGCACTTTGGTACGTAACTTGCTGATATTTGATTTATCAAGTCGTTTCAGGCACCGCACAAAAACATCATTTTGACCACCAAGCACTCAATCGCAATAAGCAATGTTGAAATTTTCAACCAAAATAAACAAACAATTGGAAAAATTGCAGTTTCCCGCGCACGGCGCAGTTCAAGAATGGTACATTTTCGAGTGTGTATCCCATAACGCACTTCGAAAAGGCCTCTCCTTGACAACCGCTTTGTGGAGGACAGCAGTGTGAATCGCCTGCATTCATAATGTATAATATTTATCGATACTCTAAACATGTTTGAATTTGTACTTGATTACAGCTTGATATTAGTGTGATTAGGAAACTGCCAAACTCCAGCTTACAAAGGTTTAATGAATTAAAGACCCCCCCGCAAATTTGGGTCGTTTCTTTTTTGTCTTGTTCTCTTGTCATGTGTGAAACGTCGCCACCGTCTTTCTTAAAACAAATCAGAAAATTAAAAAAAGTGGATCAACATTTGTAAGTAAAATTTAATATCATAGTTCACAGTATCAAACGTGCCGTCCCAGTGCAAGACTATCTTGGAAATTGTCAAATTTAACCTTTTTTTCCACTGGCTAAAAAAATGACAAGAACGACCTCCAGAATAATGTACAAGGATATCTAAAAAAAAAAAAAAGCGGCGGGACTGCTTGTAGCCCTCCGAGCAGACTTCGCCCCCTTAAACACCCCGCCCCTTTCCTCCATGTGGTGATTGTGGTCTCCAGGTCAGTTCCTAGTCATACCTGAACCTAAACGATTTTTATGGTAGTTAATGTATCCCTGAGGCCCCCCTCTAACTACATTACGTTTTCTACTTTGTTTGTTCTTGTGATGGTCAAATAAATAATAATAATAATAGTAGGAATAATGGCGCTAACTTGGAAAAAAGGAATTTCATCTATAACTGTACGTTTTTAGAATAAAATAGAAGATTCCTCATTAAAAACATTACACCTGCATGAGGACAGATACTTCTGAGCGATTTCTCAACTTGGGTGAGTGCTATTATGATAAAAAACAAAGCTGTCCGTCATATTTACGTTATTACTTTATTGCGAACGACTGTGCCACCCCTGGATCTGTTACTTCTGAACCATAAACAATTATTTTTGAGACCACTTAGAAGAAATAAAACCCTAACACGGTTGAGATCCCTTTTATTGTCGAAAATGTAGAAAATTAAGATTACAAATGAAGTAAATCAGCATCAAACCTTTAGCTCACTGTATTCCAACCTAGAAAATTGCCTTGTGGGTTATGCGCCCAGGGAAGTGAAAAAAAATCTTGTGAGGGAAAA